ACGTGCCAGAATCACTTATTGGTCACACAATCGCCATCGATCAAGGTTCTGGTGTGTTAGGTTAGTTTAGCCACATCCAAATTATCAAAAAGCTACTGACGTTTCTCAGGAAGAAACTGGTGACTTTCTGATTGTTTTGATTGGGTTAGGTTAGGTTAGATGGTTCCACATCCAAATTATCAATAAGCTACTGACTTTTCTCAGGAAGAAACTGGTGACTTTCTGATTGTTTTGATTGTGTTAGGTTAGGTTAGGATAGATTACCTGGGTCCACTTCCAAATTATCAAAAAGCTACTGACTTTTCTCAGGAAGAAACTGGTGACTTTCTGATTGTTTTGATTGTGTTAGGTTAGGTTAGGTTAGATTACCTGGGTCCACATCCAAATTATCAAAAAGCTACTGACTTTTCTCAGGAAGAAACTGGTGACTTTCTGATTGTTTTGATTGTGTTAGGTTAGGTTAGGTTAGATTACCTGGGTCCACTTCCAAATTATCAAAAAGCTACTGACTTTTCTCAGGAAGAAACTGGTGACTTTCTGATTGTTTTGATTGTGTTAGGTTAGGTTAGGTTAGATTAGCTGGGTCCACATCCAAATTATCAAAAATCTACTGACTTTTCTCAGGAAGAAACTGGTGACTTTCTGATTGTTTTGATTGGGCACAGTAACCAATCTGCTACCTAGATGCTTAATCTATTTACATTTTATCAGATTTAAATACGAGTAATTTCATTCAAACCTCTCTACTATGACAACCATATTACAGCCTCGGCTTACTACAGCATCTAAAGCACCCTGAACTCGTGTGTATTCTTTGTTGAGTAAGGTTCTCCCAAACCTTCTTATTTTAATGGTAATTTTTTTTATAAAAGCCCCATATAAAACGGAGGATTAGGATAAATTTGTTTTCCTTCTGCTTAAACGATTTTGATTGAAATCTAGCATAGTATAGCCTTCTTAACTTTGGACAAAATAACACGACCCCCAAACACTGTAAAAAATACGGTTCTATAATTATTAAATTTTTTATAATTTTCCCATTAAATAACTCATAGTTATCCCCACTGTTTACCCAGTATAAAGATTTAAGGTTTTCTTATAAATGTAGTAGGATGTTTAACTTTAATTACAAGTTAATGGGAGATAGTATGTGCCAGTTTGCTGATACCGTTTATTAAAGTCAGCAACGCACATTTAGGGTCCAAAGAAATGAAAGAAGGGTGTAGAATGGAGTGAGATGGTCTGTGGAGATTTGTTACTGACTACAACCAGCTGTTTCTTGGCAGGACCATTTTATTTAAGTATTATTACATTAAGCCTAACGATTAAGGACAGCTGGGCCTTTCACTGATTAAGTATCCAGTGCTGGAGATTCTGAACAAAACGTCTTCAGGATGGTGTGGAAAAGATAGGGGTTTTGAGTTGTGAGATTTTTGAGGACCTCTGTAGGTCTTGCAGAATTTGTGTAAAATTGTTTTGGAGTTTGGAAATACAGAAATCTTCTAAAAGTGGTGAAAAACACTTCTAAAAGAATTTCGAACCAAGTATAAATTTAGAAAGGCTTGACGTGTGTGTTGAACTATACCTTTTCACATAAAATATAATAGAAGTAAATGAAAAAGTTATACCAACTTATGAGCTTATTTTGTCCCTAAGCAGTGACTATCCATAAATCTTACAATTTGGGATGGTTTTACATAATAAACACACTGTATAACAAACATTCTGACATGATGACCTACAAAACAAGAAATTCAAATTTACGAGATCTTCCAATAATGTGTCTAACGAACATACCCTGGAAGTCTTCTTCCTCTAAGTTAAAGAAAACTAGGCTTGAATAATTTCTACTCTGTTTGAAAACAAATTAGAACGCAGTTACAGTACCTTGACTGTGAATGGGTTTCATTGCTGTAGAAAATTAAACTAAATGAATTTGTGACAGAACTTTACCTGTACAGTGACAGCATGTATGTCCCCCGGAAGTATCCATAACGGATCCACAGAGAAGTGTACAGTAGGACTGAGTCCAATGACGATCCTGGACACAAACATCACAAACACAAAACACAAACGGCTGGCTCGGAGGCTAAGCAAAGAATAGTCGCGACATTTAGGGTTCGCCGAGTGAAGTGGTTAACTAATGAGAGCATTGTGAGAGGAGGGCACTGCCCGGTGGTTCCCAGGCCTTGGAGGAACCCCAGTGACCTGGGGAGTGAGCCGAGGTGGAAACTGTAGTGAGGAGACGATAATGGTGGCGGATTGTTGAGAATGGTGGAGGATTGTTGAGAATGGTGGAGGATTTTGAGAATAGTGGAGGACTTTTGATAATGGTGGAGGATTTTGAGAATAAAGGAGAACTGTTGATAATGGTGTAGGAGTTTTGAGAATGGTGGAGGATTGTTGAGAATGGTGGAGGATTGTTGAGAATGGTGGAGGATTTTGAGAATAGTGGAGGACTTTTGATAATGGTGGAGGATTTTGAGAATAAAGGAGAACTGTTGATAATGGTGTAGGAGTTTTGAGAATGGTGGAGGACTGTTGAGAATGGTGGAGGATTGTTGAGAATGGTGGAGGATTTTGAGAATAGTGGAGGACTTTTGATAATGGTGGAGGATTTTGAGAATAAAGGAGAACTGTTGATAATGGTGTAGGAGTTTTGAGAATGGTGGAGGATTGTTGAGAATGGTGGAGGATTTATGAGAATGGTGGAGGACTTTTGATAATGGTGGAGGATTTTGAGAATAAAGGAGAACTGTTGATAATGGTGTAGGAGTTTTGAGAATGGTGGAGGATTGTTGAGAATGGTGGAGGATTGTTGAGAATGGTGGAGGATTTTGAGAATAGTGGAGGACTTTTGATAATGGTGGAGGATTTTGAGAATAAAGGAGAACTGTTGATAATGGTGTAGGAGTTTTGAGAATGGTGGAGGACTGTTGAGAATGGTGGAGGATTGTTGAGAATGGTGGAGGATTTTGAGAATAGTGGAGGACTTTTGATAATGGTGGAGGATTTTGAGAATAAAGGAGAACTGTTGATAATGGTGTAGGAGTTTTGAGAATGGTGGAGGATTGTTGAGAATGGTGGAGGATTTATGAGAATGGTGGAGGACTGCTGAGAATGATGAAGGAGTTTTGAGAATGGTGGAGAACTGTTGAGAATGGTGGAGGATTTTGAGAATAGTGGAGGATTGTTTAGACTGTCGAGAATGGTGGAGGAGTTTTGAGAATGTTGTGGAAAACACGTATCCGTGATCCAAATTGCACTGGCAAGAAAAGGTAAACAGAATAAATCAAATACGGAAAATATCTAACAGACTATAAGGCAACACGGTCAAAAGGTTATACGCATGAGACTAAGGAAAAATTGTATTAGGAACTATATCACACAACGTATAAGAATTTCACAGAAATGGCACTATATTCCTTAATTTTTCTTAATGTATGTTACAGATAATGTACGGGTTGAGCTTAGCTGTGTCAAACTGTTGTTTCAAGGGTAGGAAGTTGGAGGAGGTGGAATTGCTTCCCCTACAAAGTACAACAGACTACATTTTGTGAACGAAGAATATGAAGAAAATGTCACACAGACCAAATTGCACTACGGAAAAGCACCAAGATCAAGTAAACTATATATGCCAGGGACTAAATTTAACAGTTATTAAAAAGCACTACTCACAAAATAATAAACATATTAATTGGTAGTACAAAAGTTTTGTTTTGTTACGCTTTCAGTTTAAGCTTTCTAGAAGTTTATCCAAATATATTCTGAATTCAAAAAGGAAGAAGTGCACACTTCATCTGGACATTTCCAATATGAATAAAAGTTACTTACAGACAGCGATAGTATCACTATGTACCAGAAGTGGTCTTCACATCATTGCTAAAGATGCAACATTTCGATCGGTATCGATCAATTGTAATGTCACAAGCCGAAACATGTAAACAATGGTGCCATAATTATGCTATTTATTGTCGGATTATTAAGGTATGTAAACCAGAAACCTATCCATCACAATTTGAATTATTGAAAAACACAACACTAAACAGATGTCTGAAAATACTGAAAATAATTCGGGAGTTTATTTGTTGGGCAAGTCCGATTGAATCACTTCAGTGGCCGTTATAGCAGCTTACCCAATGTAAGTGAAGAAATGAAATGTACAAATGAGGGGTTAGGTTAATGGCCCAGAGAGTATTGGGACTTGGGGACTTTATGTGGTTACATTCCAACACACATTGGAGAGTGGCGTTCAATGCTGCAGCTTGCTGTACGTACGTTTGAGCAAATCTGGCCTGATCAATTTGTAAAATACTGGGAACGATTCCGTAATAATCTAAATTTTAATGCTTTTGGAGTGTGTAAGCTGGAATTGCAAAATGATAGTTAAAAAGTTGTAGAAAGGTTAAGTACTATGGGCCTGATTAGAAGATTTCCGAAAGATTATGGGGCCGTGGGGAGCCTAAACTAACCTAATCCACAGTCGATATAGCAACCACAGACAAATTAGGTTACTATATTGTCTGTGCCTAACTTATCCATTTCTTCTAACCTTAACGTAAACTTCTAACATTCAACTCAACTTGTGCCTTTTAATCTTTTCTAACCTAGCCTAACCTAACCTTAACGTAACCTTCTAACATCAACTCAACTTGTTCGTTTTAACCTTTTCTAACCTCATTGATTAAATGCTATATATACATATGTATGTATATACAGTAGTATCAAAATTACTTAAAAATTAGAAAATAAATCGGTCCCGGGCCAAAGTCTTACGGTGAGACCTCCGATAATATGTAGCTACTTCCCTATAGGGAAATTCGCTAAAATGGAAGACTGTTAGGGCTACACAATCATCACATGTTTCATTTACTGCGTGGGGGGAATAACTTAGGGGTCCATACATTACATATTTTGGTTGAGTTTTCGACCACTGGACGACCTCTAGTACTTATTGAAACAAGGTTGTTTAATGATTATCAATATAGATGGTAGCAATCCTTTATTACATAAATTCATTACCAAAAGCTGCATTTATAAATATTTGCTACAATTCATCTGAGTAACGTATCCTAAGGACCTTCTGTGAATGTTTGACCAGACGTATCACACCAACCTTTTTTGCGCATTTCCCAAATCCAGTCCTTCTCAAAGAAACTTAAATCCCTTTTCACTCCTTGAATAGTGTCCTTCTGTCTATATCCGTGACGCTTTTCTATCACCAGAGTGACGCATTTTTTTTTTGACCTAAGATAGCTTAGTTCCAATGCGTCACAAGTCTCTTTTTTGGTTATACGGTAAAACAAATGAGTATTTGCATTTGGATCATTTTTTGCCTTAAACGTTGCTAGAAGTCGACTGCCAAGGTACATATTTGTAATTTTCCACTCTTGGTCTCTTTTTACACTAATACCATAAGTGGGTAGCCTATAACAATCTTTTAAGTCATGTTCTAGCGCATGCGGATAATCAGGAAATTCGTCGATAGTTTTTCCGTCAACTTCGTACTCAGGTTTGGCTGGAAACAAAAAATTATGTTAACAATTCTTAGACTTAATGAGACACTCCATCAATAGTTTCTGAAGTGGTGGCGCAGAAAATGGCATCAACTGCAATTGATCTTTTGTGTCGTGTGAGAGCTAAACTCTGTATAAGTAAAAATAATAAACTATGTAACATAATGACAAAACAAACCTCGAGTTTATTTCACACTACATTTTATAGGTTTAATAGAGTTTCTTCTGGTGAAAATAAGTTAAACCTAAGACATAAGTTATTAAGAGGGTTTTATTTTGCCTTGACTGTACATTCTTCCCAGACCTGATCTCATAATCCTTTCGTGCTGCGTGCTACATATGCCTAAATTAAATTTGATTTATATAAACAATAATGGAGATTCACACTAGTTTTAGTTAAACTGTGTGGTGATAATTTGAGGTAACATATTTTAAATATATAACAACAACCCATTCAGTTATCAAAACACTATGCTGCAAATTAAAGAAATTTCATGAAAATATTTAGAAAATTTAGAAAGTCATTCCATAAAAAATTAAACCCCTCTTAAAGTTGTACCGGCGGAAATAAAAAATTGGTCGTTAACAAATTTGGGCTTCTTTTGAGTTTAAAGCTAAATCGATCCAAACATTGATATTCCTATCCTAACCTAACCTTACCAAGCCTAACCTAACGAAACCTAAACCTCAGACCTGGTAGTTGACCTCAGAAAACATTACTTGCATCCCAAATCACAAAAACGACACTGTAGTGATTGATACCATAGATTAAACATGCTGTTGACACTTAAGTTTCACAAAGCTCGTAGGGATTAGGTCAGATAAGAAAGAGTACAGTCAATGCAAACATTTCGCACCACGGCCTCATTGGTGCACCAGGCAAGGGGGAGCAGTTTACCTCCTCCCCTACCAGGCAGCCTGAAGTTCAATTCAAGATGACGGATTATATGGATTGAAATATAGGTCGGGATTGAACATGCCTCTATGTTCAAGCTCTTGACATTCTAAAACTAATTTGATTCCGATGATTGTGTGCTTTTTGTGCTGTAACATGTCAGACCTTGCAATGGATGGGGGACGTTTAATTTTTAACTTTTATTTAGGAGCTAAAATCACATGTAAAAAAGACTAATTTGCGGATTTCCACAATGATTTTGTAAATTATTAAAGAAACAATTACAGTACGCAGTATAATTTCCTCCAGTGCATAGTTTGGGTCTTTGTGAATATTTTACAGTTTATTTCAAATCGATAAACAATTTTACCACGAGGTTCTTTTTTGTAGGACCATGTTTACGCGGTAACCAGCTGTGAGTGTCATACAACAATCCGTACAACAGTAGATTCATTCGACAGACGATGAGGTTTCTCGGATTGAAAAATGAGCTAGTAATTTATTTTTGTAGCAGATTCAATTTGTTTTAAATATTTTGTCTCTGATACTAGTGAACGAACCTTTAAGGCATTGCTTACCTGGAATGAAATCATCTGGGATTCCCGTGAAATCAGTTGCTTCGATTAGCATAGCTTTGCATAGTACTATGCAGAAGAAGGCCTGAAAATGTATTTCAATAAGACAAATAAAATACATCGTTCTGGTTAGACACATCCTATATAAAACAGTTTGTATGTAGAACTCGGATGCATGTAGCCCGTCGAGGATATAGGCTGCATTTCACCTGACCGAAAATGGAAACCCTCCCACCCCTAGAACCTCCTCACCCCCCACGCATATCTACACTTGACCGGTAAATGGACTGTACGCAAAATGGAAGACACCACTTAAATAAACAGTCTCATTTAACCTAATGGTGTTGAAAACCACTACCGCTCCCGCTCTTCGTGCATAAATGGGGCCTAGGGGCACACACACCGGAGCGGTGCGGCGGAGCGGTAGCGGCGGAGTGGTAGTGGCGGAGCGGTAGCGGTGGAGCGGTAGCGGCGGAGCGGTAGCGGCGGAGCGGTAGCGGCGGAGCGGTAGCGGCGGAGCGGTAGCGGCGGAGCGGTAGCGGCGGAGCGGTAGCAGTGGAGCGGTAGCGGTGGAGCGGTAGCGATGGAGCGGTAGCGGTGGAGCGGTAGCGGCGGAGCGGTAGCGGCGGAGCGGTAGCGGTGGAGTGGTAGCGGCGGAGCGGTAGCGGTGGAGCGGTGCGACGAGCCTGGCATATGTGTTTCTTGTCTTTTCCAAATTTTAGGCGTAACTCAGTCCGTTACAATGCTCACACATTGATTAGCAGTGCAAGCCCAACTGATGGCATCCTCAATACTTCCCTCAAGCTTGTTTACTCAAACTGGTTACTGGTTTGAACGCTTTGTTCCCCTCCATTTTCCTTCACATATTCCAGATCCCAAACCCATTCAAATCCAAAAAATAATATAGTTGTGTGACCCGGTCACAGAATGCTTAAGTGTCTAAAATGTTAATTCTACCTTTTTCTGTTGCTGACTTTGTTGATGGGTCATAACAGTAAGTTGCTGTAGCTCATAATATGTCTTCCGATAAGTTTGGCTTAGAAAAATCATCGTGTATTCAACAGAAATTAGTAATTTAGATCAGCGCAATGGGTCTATTCTGTTTATTATAGTGAATGATTTGACCAATTAATTCATGGCTTAATTACATTAGATTTTCCGTAGCGGCAAACCTACACCCAAAGCTTATAACCTGTTGCTTTATTGAACTTGTATACAATCTGTTCCATAATAGAATAAAATTTGGAAATTACCCTTGGATCCATGTTAAAATAATAACGCCCTATGTTAACTGGCTATACAGGTTTTGTACAAATTATTAAATACCCTTTAAAATGTGTGAACTCAACAACTTACCAATAAAAACAGCAGAAATTCGTCCATCGCGAAATTATGTTACTGGTGAGAAATCGAATTGCGGTTTTATACTGTGAAAACATCTGTCTCAACAAATTATCATAATGACAGTCATGCATAGGCATTTGACGCACAACTGTTGTACGTAGGCTAGTCAAATTGAGGAAAACTCAAACTAATTGTAAAAGATACTAAGTAAGAATTTTTAGATGCGGAATGGGGTCCCGAACAACATATCAAAAGTCTATAAGAGATTAAATTAACTGTAATTTTTTTCAATTATAAAAAATTAAAGTTAAAGTCATTTAAGTGCCGATGAAGGCAGAAATAATTTTGTTGTGAAGGATAAAGACAGTAGGGGTTTGTATTTTGTTTCTTCTACACGTGTTATTGAACTGCTAATATGAAAGTTCTTAGTCCATCCAAAATTACACAATAAAAACATTATACAATGCATACAATAGGATATGCGTCTTTTATAAAAAAGGATGACATTTTTATTGATATATTTTTGTGAAATTCCAATCAGGCAAATGGAAATTCACTTAGTCTGCAGGTTTTTATTTGGCATTTTTTAATTCTAATTTTGTAATTTAGATATAGTAGAGGAGTTTGTAATATAAATAAATCACATTGTCAGTTGGTTATTATAAATTAGCTGGAAATACCACGAACACTTGGTTTCAGAAATGAGTTAGAAATACTGCGCGAAAATGTCTTCGGAATTTGCTTCCAAGCATGTGATCTTCGTGATGACTAGGTTATAGGCTACACCAAATTAAGTTTGAGCCAGTCCAGATGTTGTTAAGTTTGGATTGCAAATAAAATGGAACACTAAGCTAAGAAATATACATGAAATAGTACATTTCATCACTAGGGTCTAAAGTGACTCTTTTTGACCCGAGGTCAATTACGATCGAGGCGAAGCCGAGGGTTGAAAAAGACACTTTTTGCCTGTAAGGTGAAATATATTTTTTGGCATATTGCATATCCTTATATATAATACGTGAAGGCGATTTCTACAAAACACTACTCCTCCGTTAATAATGGACGGATTTTTACAAACAACGTGTCAAAATAAAGTATTTTTTGTGTAGACGCCCCCTTTCACAAATTCCTGTAATAAAAATCCTCGGGCTTTGCCCCACAGGCCATCAAAGTTGGAGTTTCTCCCATAAGATTAACATGGGGGAATCTAAATATTTAATTGGAAACTTTGTCCCCACTAATTTGAGAGAACGGCTGGGCGTAGAAACTTGGTAGAGGGGTCCAAAGAAAGGTCTTGGTCTGTAGATGAGTTATCAAAAGAAAAACTAAGCAAAATCGCTTAGGACTCTGCCCCAGAAGCCTTTAAAGATCCCTTCACAGAGTTATTTACATTTTGGCCACATGAATAATACTTTTTAATGAAACAGCTGTTCATTTTTAAATTGTATTTCAAACAACACACATATTGGGAGTTACTGAATTCTACCAAATAAGTATTTGCAATATTATTTTCTGATTTTAAAATTGATTTTCTTCCTTATCATGTTAATTTTTGCAATATAGCGTTCCATTACGAAATCAGTGGAAAATCCTTTTATTACAGAAATGCATAAATCATTTCTTATTGAACTATCTTATAACTTATCTATTGTACGGGTTGGTGTCTGCCTTTTTCACCACTTTTGACCTACATTTTATCATATTATTCTACACATATCAAATATTTATGTAGACATATTTGCTCTTATCGTGTTTAATAAAATCCAAACATAGAAACCTTGCCTAAAATGGTACCCATCTTGACAAATTATTTGCACCTGTCTATATTACGAACTTTGGCGCACTGGGTTGGTAACATTATTGAAAATAACACGACATTTTGGCTGTAAAATATGGTGCAAAGATAAAATACTATTTAAGCAGCTACTGTCATGACAGAAAGGTCATATTCCTTTTAAACTAAATCACATAATCCTTTATAAGATACGTTGACAATATGTAAACGTAAATATATACGTAACAGCCAATTTACAGTATTTTTGCTGTTTGAAAATGTCCCATTGCTCATGCAAATATATGTCATTTGCATTATTTGTTGCCAATGAAGCCGCAAGACCATATAAACTAGGAGGCCCCTAACAGTTAAAGAATAAAAGCCAACTTCACTTTAAGTATTCCACTACACCTAACATTCCGTAGAGAGATATTATTGACAACTTTATGTTATTGATAAGGCTGAGACAACTAACTGACATCCACCATGTCAAGGAATTCCAGCTTTAACAGTAACCCCACAATCAATTTCTCAAAACTGTGCTAGAGGGTTCATTCATTGGCACAGAAGTACGATATGAACTGACGCGATGTGACGAAGGAAAAATCAAACTTACACTGTAACGGAAATACCTCCCTTTGAAGTTAGAATATGCCTTCCCAAAAAATATTTTCTTTTGAAATAAAATCATATTACACTGATGAAATCACGGAAGTAATTAACTACAAAAGATCCACCAATACGATTTTAATACTACAGTATTTAAAGGTTTTTCCAAAGGAAGAGATACCATATAACATACTAATAATAACTCCGATGACGTACGGTATGAGGAATATTTTATTCATTGAATGATCAAACAAATTTGGCAACTAATGCAATTAATGTCATTATTGTTTTACACTTATTGCTAAATGCTCAAAATATGTATATTTCACCCAATTTATCGCAGTTAGATTAATTAACTTAAGCCTTGAAAGTAACCGTCGATTTCGACGGGTTTCATCTAGTTCTCTGAGTAATGTGAACCAAATTATTTGTAAACCAGCTGATGAAACTGCTGAAGTGCCAATGAGTGTAAAAGTAACAACTTTATCAAAATGTTATGTACATAAGTTATGCTATAAGTAACGGATGTTTTTACCGTAGTACTCATCCTGGACCCGGGACCGATTTTTTTTCGCTTTGAGGTCCCTAGAGGCCAAAAACACCATTCGTTCAAATTCATATATATATATATATATATATTTATATATGTGTCCGTTAGCGCGATAACTCGAGCAAAAACGATCCGATTTTGATGAAATTTGGTAAAAACGTGTAAACCTACGTTTATTCGAACTAGTTCGCGAACCAGCATGGTCGGACTATAGGAACTGGGGTTTTTGGGGGGTAAAAATGCGTTATTCCCATTTTTGACTCAAAATACATAAAATTTTGCAATTTCTTTCCAAACTATTTTGTAGAGCTTAAAAAACAAATAATTTAGTATATTGAAGCGTTATAATGCACCTAATGGTTACGGAGAAAATTCCAAAAAATTGTAAATTTAAAATTCCCATGTTATTCTTATGGAGAATAAGTAAACTGTTGTAGTTTGCTTGTTTATTAACATATTTTGCCCAAATTTGGAAAATGTTTTTATTTCTTACTAACTATTCAAATTTTACATAAAAAACACTTTTACCCTCCCTGTTGCAGCAAACCTAAGTATGTGTTAAACTGAATCTATTTAAATAAGGAATGTGATATTTTTAAGGATACATTTTAGTGTAAATCCAATCAGGCAAATGGAAATTCGCTCAGTCTGCAGGTTTGCTGCGGCGGGGGTATTTTTATCGTTTGATTTGTTTTTGAGACTTGTGGTAATTTTTATAACTGTTACATAAATTGGGAATCTTAATAAATAGACCAATTTTGTATATTATTTTGGTATTTAATAATGGAAAATACTTAAATCCTGTTTTACAGATATCCCAATATATCAACGTAATTCAGAAAGAGTTATTTATTGTGTATTTTTTTACTAAAAAAACTTACTTGGTACCTCTAATATGGGAATCATATAAAGTATAAAAGTTAAGTAAGTATAAAACACACATATATGTAAGCCAGTAAACTTTGAATGTGAGATAAACTCAGTATGAAAGATCGTTTCCCGCTGGTAAATTTCCTAATGTTTACAGAGAAGGTATCTTTTGTGCACGGAAACCTTTTGTAAGCCTAATGGCTCTTTTTGCGATGGCAAAGAGAGCTATGATTTAACTATGAAACAGGCTAATAGTGATTTTCTAGTACAATTTTGTCTAACATACGATAGTTATGTGTGCGTTGGAATTGATTTTTTTTAACTGTGTGGGAACTAAAGCTATTATTTAACAATAAACAGGTTAATAGTTTTTATTTACCAGTACAAGTTTATTTTAACAAACGATAATTATGTTTCCATTGGAGTTGCATTTTTTATAACTGTTTGGGAACAAAATTAACACAGTGATAAGTAAACATTTTACTATTTTTGCACGTTTTAACTAGAGCAAGTCGTGATAAAAATTATATAGTAATAGACTGATAACAATTTCTGTATTTACCTAATCTAAATCAACAATTATTTAATTAATTGAAAATTTCACAAAATTCAAAGGGACTCAAAAGGATGAATGTTCTACATATGTCAATAATAAGTTTTTAAGTTCATTCATAACTACTTCATCTACACGCATTTTATTTTAGACAACACACACATAAAATATTAATTTTAGGGGATAGGGCAGCGTACTACGTAATTTATCGTTACATGTTGTACTAATTAATGCAAATTTCATTATAGTGATAGGAAATAGTTGACAGAAAGCAAATGCTCACGATAACATTATACATTGGAACACTAAGAAATCTGAAATGTCCCATATATTCAGCTGGAAAAGTAAAGTAAGATAAATGAATACGAGATGACTTCCATTTGGAATCCAACTCTTTACTTTTTACTCAATTTCCGTACGATTTCCATCTGTACTTGAATTTTGTTCAACTCAGGAATTCGTTTAGTCATGTCACTATAATTATATTCGTTTATATCTCATTTATTGTTTACATGCTACTATGTAAAATATTTAGTACTTTAGTATTATACCAACTACTGTAGACCAAAATTGGTTACCCTTAGGTTAGTTTAGGTTAGGTTATCTTCAGGTCATCTTATCCTAACCTAACCCAATTTTTGTGTGGTCTGCATACTACCAACGTACCGAATATTTAATATACAT